ACCTCCCGGTCGGCTTCGAGCTGGCGGCCTCCGAAGAATGCGGCTAAAACGTTTGCGAGATCCCGAGTTAGTTTTTGCGAGATCTCGCAAAATTCCGTCTTAATTGTTTTTCCTCCCATGTCTCCTGCGGGGCTCCGTACATTAGTTACGATTTTGTGGCAGTCAGCACAATATTGCGTCACCTCGGCAACCAAATAAATCAAGCTTTTTAAAGAAAGAAAGAAAGAAGAAACAGCAACTGTTGTTTTCAACCTAAACATTGATCTTTGTCTAAGTTTAACATCCAACTTCAACCTAATACTTTGTGTTGTGACTCTAACCAAGTACATTTTTGTTAAAAGAAAAAAAAAGTGTGACATATAAAACTCCAACCTGCCGCGTGGATGACGCGACTCGCTCGAAGAAGAATAAACCTTAATAATAGCCGGGGTCACATTGGTTCTCTTTAGGACTGAGGGAACTGCTGTAGGAGACGTGAGAGCGTCAGATTCATCCACACATGCAGTCAGTGGGGTGAGGTTAGTTCAGGTGATTCTAAACGGCTCATAGATGTGAATGGTTGTGTCTCTGTGTTAGCGCTGGGACAGCCCAGGGTGTACCTCGCCTCTCGCCCCATGTCAGCTGTGTGATATGTTTCATTCCCACGTGACCCTGACTGGATAAGTGGAAGTAAATAGACAAATTTATTAAATATGTATTTTCTTCGTGTAATTCAGTCGGCCAACTACGCACAAGGGTTCATGGTTGAGTTTGGAGGAATTCCTGTTAGCAGGCTTTGACTTTGAGTCAGGTTTGCAATAACATAGTTCAGCACTTTTGTTTGTTTTTTTTTGCTTAATTTGAATAGATGTTTGCAATTTTACTATTTTTAGTTTTATTACTTACTATTTTTGTCCCGTAGATTTCTGCAGAGAAGCACCAGGCGGACCGCAGGAAATGGCTGGAGGAAAAAGTCTCCCTTATTGGCCAAGCTAAAGAGGCCGAGGACAAGAGGAACCAAGAAATGAGGAAGTTTGCCGAAGACAGAGAGCGCTGCACTCGGCTGCAGAGCGAGCTGGTACGAGGAGGACGATGCTAAAAACTGTCCGACACCCACCATCGACCGATGAGGGTTTGAACCGAGTTAGATTGTGATGGCCATTCAACCACTTTCTTATTATCAAAGGACCCACCTTACAATAAATTCAACACAGTCAAATGTATTAATAACAAACCTGATTAGTTAAAATGTGGCTTTTGTGCTTCACAAAGTTGCTTGTGATGCTTACAGCGGAGGATGATTTTTACTGATGGAGTTACTTGTTGGAGCGCAGCTTTAATTGGCGAGAATGTTGGTCGGGCATACATGATGCTGTTTCTCCTTTCCCGTCAGGAGTCCCAGCTGGCCGAA